GAGTCCTGGACCTGGCAGCTTGCTTTCTCACTTTCCTTCTCTCTCACCGTCTCTGGTCAACTTCAAACAAATAAAATATAAGATAATGACAATGAATAAAATAAATTAAAAAAAAACCCTAATTCTTAACAAAAATTATTTATTTAATTTTATTTATTCATTCATTTATTTTCATTTGACCAGAGAGAAATACAGTGAGAAAGCAAGTCACCAGGTTTGGGACTCAAACTTGGTTGACTATGTGGAAGTCCAGTGACATAACCATTATGCCATGTGCTAGTATTGGTCTTCTAAATCATATAGAAAAGAAGAGAGGCAATGGGACCAGCAGTTAGCGTAATGGCTAAGTCACTGGACTCTCATGTAGTCGACCGCAGTTCGAGTCCCAGACCCGGTGGCTTAAACTCATGCCAGGCACATGTGCATGTGTGCCCAAGATCCTGAGAGGAGAATGGAGGAGAAGGGATTGCGGCGTGGCCATGCACCCTGGGGGGGGATTGCTCGCTTTCTATCTCTCTGGCTCTCTCTGTCTGGCGAGCACACACACCCTATAGCAAAAACCTCTCCAAAAAAAGAAAAAAAAAAGAAGAAAGGCCAGCCAGTTGTATGGTTAAGGTGGCTAGATCCCACATGGCCAACTGCAGAGTCAGCCTGTATTCGGTGGTTTAAAAAACACACTGAGCAGTGGGCCAGCAGGTAGCATAGTGGTTAAAGTGCTGGATTCTCACAGAGTCAACTGCAGTCAGAGTTCCAGACCCGGTGGCTTGAAAATCATGCCAGGCATGTATATATGTGTGCCCAAAATCCCGAGAGAAGAATGGAGGAGATGGGATTGCAGTATGGCCACCCCCCCTGGGAGGTGATTTCTTGCTTTCTGTCTCTTTGGTGAGCACACATGCCCTATAGCAAAAATCCCTCTAAAACAAAACAAAAACAAAAACACCACACTAAGCATGTGCTTGTGTGCCCAAAATCCCAAAAGGAGAAATGAAGAAGGGGTTGTGGTATAACCAACCCTCATGGAGGGTACTTTCTCACACTCTCTATTTCTCTCTGGTGAGCACATGCACCCTCTAGGACAGTGGTCCCCAATCTTTTTGGCACCAGGGACTGGTTTCATGGAAGACAATATTTTCATGGATTCTGGGGAGGGGATTGTTTTGGGATGGTTGAAGCATATTACATTTATTGTACATTTTATTTCTATTATTGTTATATTGTAACATATAATGAAATTATACAACTCATCATAATACAGAATCAGTGGGAGCCCTGGGCTTGTTTTCCCAAACGAGGCCATCCCATCTGGGGGCTCCTATGACAATCCAGTGCCTCCTCTGATCTGATAGGAGGCAGAGCCCAGGCAGTAATGGAGCTGCAAATACAGATGAAGCTATGTTAGCTCTTCTACCATACCTCCTATTGTGTGGCCTGCTTCCTAACAGGCCACCAGTCCATGGCCTGGCAGTTGGGGACCCCTGCTCTAGCAAATTAAATAAAAAGAAAAGAAAAGTGGGGAACCAGCAGTTAGCGTAATGGCTATGTCGCTGGACTCCACGTAGTCGACCGCGGTTCGTGTCCCAGACCCGGTGGCTTAAAACTCATGCCGGGCGCGTGTGCGTGCATGCCCAAGATTCCGAGAGGAGAATGGAGGAGAAGGGATTGCGGCGTGACCATCCCCCCTGGGGGGTGATTTCTTGCTTTCTGTCTCTATGTCTCTCTCTGTCTGTCTGGCGAGCGCACGCGCCCTACAGTGAAAATCTCTCCAAAAAAAAAAAAAAAGAAAAGAAAAGAAAAGTTATTATTAAAATGTTTTATTATCCTGGATTTTGTATTTACCTGCACCGTTAACCTTGATCAGTGTTCTTTATTTCTTCATATGGGTTTGTATTACTCTCTAGTATCCTGTTTGTTTTTTTGTTATTGCTATAGGGTATATGTGCTCACCAGAGAAAGAGAGAGGGAAAGTAAGAGGGATGATTCCTCAGGGGATGGCCAGGCTGCAATCTCTTCTCCTCGGCTTCTAGGGATTTTGGGCACACATATACCCAGTGTGATTTCAAGCTGCCAGGCTTGGCACTCAAACCACACAGCTGGCCAAGTGGGATCCAGTGTCTTAACCTCCACACTACCTGCTGGTCCTGTCTAGTATCTTTATGTTTTCACCTGGATGACCGTTTTTTTTTTTTTTTTTTTTTTTTATTTATTTATTTATTTATGAGAGGTTTTTCCTATAGGGCATGTGCGCTCACCAGAAAGACAGAGACAGAGAAACAGAAAGCAAGAAATTACCTCCCAGGGGGGATGGCCACACCACAGTCCCTTCTCCTCCATTTTCCTCTTGGGATCTTGGGTGCGCACGCACATGCTCCCGGCTCCCAGCATGAGTTTAAGCCAGTGGGTCCAGGACTCAAAGCGCCGTTAACTATATGGGAGTCCAGCGATGTAGCCATTACACTATCTGCTGGTCCCCACCTGGATGACTTTTTAGTATTTCTTGCAGAAAAGACCCACCAGTGGCAAACTCCCTTAGCTTTTATTGATCTGAGAATGTCTTAATTTCTCTTTCTTTCTATTTTTTTAATGGCCAGAAGATGTGTGCACTCACCAGAGAGAGGTAGCAAGGGGGTGGGAAGGGAGGAAAAAGCATCCCTCAGTAGAGTGTGGTCATACCACAATCCCTTCTTCATTTCTCCATCCTGCTGAGATTTGAACCATGGTCAGCCATGTGGGATCTGACTTTCCTGACTACCAGGCAGGCTACAGGGCTGACCCATCCTTTCTTTTACTGCCAGAGAGAGAGAAAAAAAACCAAAACCCAATGGCACATGGTCATACCCTTTCCAATCCTTTTTCCTCTACTTCTCCATCCCATCAGGATTTGAAATACACACACACACCACACACAGCATGTGTTTCAAGCTGGAGGGGCCGGGATCCAAAGCATGGTCGGCCATGTGTGATCCAGCTTTCCCTGCACAGCACTTAACCACTGTGTTACAGGGCTGGCCCTCGCTTTCATTTTCAAGGGATAGTTTTTCTGGATATAGATGATTGGATGACTTGTTCTTTTTGTTTTTCTGGCACTTTAAATATGTCACCCCTTTGCCTTCTGATTTCTTCACTGGGGTGCCCTTTTTGCTTTTTAAAATTTTTTCTGGAGAGCACATGTACTCACCACAGGAAAGAGCCCCCCCCCCAATAAATGGTCACACTGCATTCCTCCCTCCTCCATTTCTCCATCTTATCGGGATCTTGGGCATGCATGTGTACAAACCCAGCATGTTCCTCTCAAGCCACCAGATCTGGGGTTGGCCATGTGGGATCCAGTGGTCTTAACTACCAAGTCATGGAGCCCATCGGGGGTGCCCCTCTTTCACCTCAGTCCAGCAAATTCATATTCATCCCTCAAGGCCCAGCTGAGGAAACACCTCTTCTGGAATGCTTGCTCTGATTTATCAGATGGAATCAATGGTTTCCTCCTCTGGAGTCCTCTGTTATAGTCTTCAGGGTCCTCATAAGCAGATTCACAGGTTACATTCTACCTCCCAAAGCCTTGGGAACAGGGGCCACGTCTCCTTTGTTTCAGGATCTCCAGACCAGTCAGGGCCTACCATAGGGCTGGAGTCTATGAACAGTAGTCAAAGGAATGAATCCTTACTCAGGGTCTGCCCTGTGGCTTATTTTGGCAACCAAGGTCATACTGTGCCTCAACTTTTTTTTTTAAGTCCCAGGTCTGGGACTTGAACCGTGGTCAGCACCTTAACCACCATGCCACCTGCTGGTCCCAACTTTCTCTTTGATATCAGAGCCCAGTGCTCTGTCCAGGGTCCAAGGGCTTCTTGTAAGTCAGTACTATGTACTCACCACAGAGAGAGGGAAAGATCCCCCCCCCCAATAAATTGTCACACTGCATTCCTCCCTCCTCCATTTCTCCATCTTATCGGGATCTTGGGCATGCATGTGTACAAACCCAGCATGTTCCTCTCAAGCCACCAGATCTGGGGTTGGCCATGTGGGATCCAGTGGTCTTAACTACCAAGTCATGGAGCCCATCGGGGGTGCCCCTCTTTCACCTCAGTCCAGCAAATTCATATTCATCCCTCAAGGCCCAGCTGAGGAAACACCTCTTCTGGAATGCTTGCTCTGATTTATCAGATGGAATCAATGGTTTCCTCCTCTGGAGTCCTCTGTTATAGTCTTCAGGGTCCTCATAAGCAGATTCACAGGTTACATTCTACCTCCCAAAGCCTTGGGAACAGGGGCCACGTCTCCTTTGTTTCAGGATCTCCAGACCAGTCAGGGCCTACCATAGGGCTGGAGTCTATGAACAGTAGTCAAAGGAATGAATCCTTACTCAGGGTCTGCCCTGTGGCTTATTTTGGCAACCAAGGTCATACTGTGCCTCAACTTTTTTTTTTAAGTCCCAGGTCTGGGACTTGAACCGTGGTCAGCACCTTAACCACCATGCCACCTGCTGGTCCCAACTTTCTCTTTGATATCAGAGCCCAGTGCTCTGTCCAGGGTCCAAGGGCTTCTTGTAAGTCAGTACTTCTTGGCTATCATGTGACCCAGAGATCCAGTACAGAGGGGCTCACCAGTCCATGCTCATGTCTTGGCCTCAGTCATCCCATTTGTCAAGTGCATACAGTCACTCCAGCCCCACCCAGCTCACTGAGGCCAACAGAGCTGACAGCATCTTGGAAATGAAGACTCAGGGAATGCATCATACAAATGAATGGGTTGTTATTAGACTCAGGAGCAGGGCTGGAAAGAGGAACTGAGGAAGAAGGTGGAGAAAGTGCTTAGGGCTCCTGCTGGTAAGTCAGTACTTCTTGGCTATCATGTGACCCAGAGATCCAGTACAGAGGGGCTCACCAGTCCATGCTCATGTCTTGGCCTCAGTCATCCCATTTGTCAAGTGCATACAGTCACTCCAGCCCCACCCAGCTCACTGAGGCCAACAGAGCTGACAGCATCTTGGAAATGAAGACTCAGGGAATGCATCATACAAATGAATGGGTTGTTATTAGACTCAGGAGCAGGGCTGGAAAGAGGAACTGAGGAAGAAGGTGGAGAAAGTGCTTAGGGCTTCTGCTGAATCCCTTGAGAACAAGAGAAGCAGGTGGTGGGCAGGAAGAACAGCACCTACTCGGAGGAGGGAGATGGGGGTTGGGTCCTGGCCCTAGCTTGGGCTAATCGTTCCTCCTGGGACTCAGTGTCTTCCCCTATACAACGGGGGAAGTACAATCCCTGCCTAGCTTCTTCCAAGGCCTCAAAGATGCTTCAGTGAGAGTGGGTGTACAAGAGCTTTGCAGACTGTAAAGTGCAATGCACACACAAAGGCAACTTACAGTTCCGGGATCCAGGCCCTGCTGGACTCTGGGAAGTGGGACAGTAAGCGTTGGCAATGAAAACACTGGTAAAGGCCCTTAGCCAGTCCTTTGAGCACCCCCACTTCCTCAACACCTGTCCCTCCTTTCCACCCTTTGCCCTGGAGTTGGAGAGACATGACCATGGGGTTGCTGAGGCCTGGAGGGGATGGAAGGCTCCTGTCTTGGGCTGGCCCCACCTCCCACTCTGAACCGGGGGCAGGGGTTGGGCAGCCCCACTCCTGGCAATGCCCCATTGGTAGCCTCTGTTCCCTGGTAATTAGCAAGTTCCTTATGAATAACCGAATGCAGTCCTGATGGTGGGGAAGGGCCATGGCCTGCGCCCTCTTCCCTGATCACTGCCCTTTCAATGAGGTCTTATGCTTCCTGGAGAACTGTCTGTCCCTCTGTAGTTCCACTCCTGGGTAAGGGTTAGAACGACCGGTGGAGAAGTCTTCCTTGCAGCACCCCACGTAGTCACTGATCAGATGTGGAGAGCAGCTCCTGCCCACTCCAGGCCCTACCAGACCAAGGGCTCCTGGCCCAGCAGAGGCCTGAGCCCGGCGACCGCTCCCTTGGCTGCATCTCCACTCCAGAAGGGGGCACGGAGAAGACTGCGGGGAGAGCCCTGGCTGGGCCACTTCAGAGCAGCGCCTTGAAGAGGAAGGAGAGGGAGGCTCCGCAGGAGAGTCCCAGGGCCAGGAAGAAGGTCATGAGGGCGCCAGCCACCTCCCTCTCTTGAGGCAGCACCTGCCTAGAACACATAGGAGTAGGAGCTTTGAGAAAACGCTGGGCTTAGGCCCTGCCCCAGCCAACACCCTCCACCTGTCCTCAGCCAAAGCCCTCTGCCCGTCCTTGTGTCACAACTTCTGAGTTCTAGTCTCAACTCTGACCCAAGTTCCGTGCCGCTACAATTAGGTCTGTTTCCCGATCTATAAAATGAGGACTCTGGACAAAGGCAACTCTCAGGATCTTTTGGGTCCAACATGATGGGATTCTAGAGTCTGGCCACTGGCACAGCAGGAAAACATGACACTCAGTGATGCTGCCCCACATCAGAAAACTCTCGGTTCACATCCAGAGACTTCCGTAAGTCTGCTGGGCACAAGCACGCCCATGACCTGGATGAGGCTGGAGGATGTAGCCTGGTGTCAAGATCCTGCTGGGGGTACTTTGTCTCTGTCTCTCTAGCTCAAGGAAGAAAGAAACAGACTTAAAGACAACATAAACAGAAAAATCATTATAGTGGGACCAGCAGGTGGCACGGTAGTTAAGGTGCTAGACTTGCGTATGGTCGATCTTGGTTCAAGTTCCGGACCTGGAGGCTGGCTTTCTCGTTTTCCTTCTATCTGTTTCTCTCTGCTGAGTGCATATGCCCTGTAGTAAAATTAAAACTAATAATAATAAATAAAATTAAATAAATACTTTTTAGAAACCCATTATGGGATTCTGGATTCCACTGCCTTTCTTCTTGAAAAAAGGTCTCTAATTTTATCTACACCTCCCCCATTGACTTTACTCTCCCTAAATTCTCAACTCCCTTGCCCCTAGAGGAAATGACCCATAGTCCTGCCTTTTTTTTTTTGATAGTTTTTTTTTTTGCTATAGGGCACCTGTGCTCGCCAGACAGACAGAGAGAGAGAGGACGTGAGAAATCCCCCCCCAGGGGAGATGGCCACACTGTAATCCCTTCTCCTCCATTCTCCTCTCGGGATCTTGGGCACGCATGCACACACACCCGGCGTGAGTTTAAGCCACCGGGTCCAGGACTCGAACTGCGGTCGACTACATGGGAGTCCAGCGACATAGCCATTATGCTAATTGCTGGTCCCCATAGTCCTGCTTTTGATCAAAATTTTAGCTCTTCTTCGACAGAATTTCGGAGCTGAGGGCTCGAAAGGTAACAACAGCCCAACCTGTTCATTTTATAGATGGGGAAACTAAGGCCCACAGAGAAGTCCCCAGAACCAGGGCTGGCAGAAGCAGAATGGGCCCTCTCTGCCTTGCAGGCGTCCCTCCTCAGAGAGCAAACCCACTCCCCCAAGCCCAACCCAGCCCACCCCAGACCTGGGCGCCAGGCACATGGTGAGGGACACCAGGTAGCCATTAGAAACAGCAAAGAGCAGCATGAAAGTGATGAAGTAGGCGTCCTGCGGGAACAGGATGGGCAGCCGGGACCTCTCGGGCACGTGGCAGAGCATGAAGAGTGGCACAAACAGGAAGCGCAGGCAGACCAGTAGGGGCAGCAGCCGGCTGTCTTCGTCTGGCTGTGACAAAGGCTGGGGTGAGTGTGGGGTGATCTCTGGGACCACCTGATCTCAGGACACCCATAGGATCAAGCACCCCCTAACCTCCTCTGACTTGAGCCAGTGAGGACTCAGTGTGGGAGCCCGTAGGGCACAAGGGGCTGGGCCAAGGCCACCCATCAGACAGGGTCTGGCCTGAAGCTGGCCTCTGTCTCTCTCCAGCTCTAGCTTGTGCTCTCTCCATGGCAGAACTGGAAGAGACCTTAAACGGCAGCTATGGTTTTCAAACTTGATTCCTCCGAGTACTCTGGGGGTTCCACAGACCTCCTTTGGGATAGATGGAGGTTCTGAGTGGCATTGGGAGCTGCAGATTCAGGTCTCATCCTGACTTAGATCAGAGAAGCTCATCTTGGATCTGCTTTATTTATTAGGTCTTCTTGGAAGATTTTATGAAAAGAAACAGCATCGTGGCTAAAAGCAATCCAAAAACTAGGAATCTTGTCCAACCCTTTACCCAGTCTAGACACCTCCACCTAGCATTCCTTAAGCATCAATGGCTGGGCCTTGGGCTGGATGCTGGGAGCAGAGGTCAACTGGCCAAGGCTTCTGCTTCCAAGGAGCTCACAGCCCAGTCCCTGGCTTGCACACCTCCAAGGGCCATGCTCACTGCCACTTAGCTAACTGTTCTATCGCCAGATCACTCACGATTGGAAAATCACTTTGCTATGCTCCTTCAGGCCCTCTGATTTCCAGCTGGCTCTTTTTTTTTTTTTTTTAAGAGGTTTTTGTCTTAGGGTGTGTGCATTCACCAGAGAGAGACAGAGACAATGAGAGGGAGTGAGAAATCACATACACCTCCCCGCCCATGGGGCATGGCCATGCCGCAACCCCTTCTCCATTCTCCTCTTGGGATCTTGGGCATGCACATGCACACGTGTCCAGTGTGAGTTTCAAGCCACCGAGTTCAGGACTCGAACTGTAGTAGACCATGTGGGAGTCTAGTGACGTAACAGACATCTCTGGACCCCCCAGCTGCTTCTTAAAACATCAGACTACCCAGCTCAGGTGTGCTCACCCACAGGAAATAAGAGGTTAGACTTCGTCCCAGCCAATCCATGACGTTGAAGAGAAGGAAGCAGCAAATGGGATTGAAGAACCGACCTGGGAGAGAACGGACTGGTGTCTCATACAGGTCTCCATGCCTCTCCTCCCTCCTCTCCCCTTTGTGGACCCAGTCCTGCCCTCTTGTGCATCCCAACACTCACTCCACCTCCCGGGGCTGGTGGAACTGGTCACCATGGCTGTGATGGCAGGGAAGACGGACAGGGTGACTGTGAAGACCAACACAAGGCACAGCGCCGTCAGCCAGATCTGGGAGCCGGAGGCAGGGGTGTGAGCAGGCAGGGAAGTCTGGGCCCAGCGCTCAGCCCCAACCTCTTGTTCAAGCCCTGCCCAAGAGCAGGACACCTGGGGCCTGGCCCAGCTGTGTCCCTGATCCACGATGACCCTGTGACCTGGAGGTCATACAACGAGAGCACTAGGGCTCCATTCCATTCGAAGTGTCTCTGGTGAGAGCTGGGAGACTGTCCCTCTCTTCTTCCCCAAGGACAGTGGCTGGGGGCTATATCCAAGCCAAACCTTCCGGAAGACAACAAAGACCGAAGGTTTTTCTGGTTTCTGGGGGTCCTCTGGCTCCGGCTCCTTCTCAGGGTCAAGATCCAGAGTCAAGACTGCCTTCTGGGGGCTGTTAGCAATTCCGTTCTTCTCATCTGGGGCAAGAGGAAAGATGGGTCATGCCTATGGTCCATGTGTTTCTTGACAGCAGGCTGACAGGAGAGTCCCAGCAGTTAACACAAGTGGTCCTCCTCCAGCCCTGGTATGGGTGATGGGAATTAATAATGGAACTATGCATAACTACAGCGGACATCCAAAAGTTCATGGATAAACTTAATAAGAGTTTATTTCAGTGAAAACAACTTTGAAATTTAGGACAGCCAGGTAACATGGTGGTCAAGGCAGCTGGATATCACATGACCAACTGTGAGGTTTGAGTCCTGGACCCGGGGCTTAAAAAACATGCTGGGTGGGGCCAGCAGTGGCGTGGTGGTTAAGGTGCTGGACACTCCCACATGGCTGACCACAGTTCAAGTCCTGGGCCTGGCGACTTGCTTTCTCACTTTCCCTTTCTCTCTCTGATCAAATTAAAATAAAATGAATGAATAAATAAAATTAAACAAAACAAAACAAAAAAAGCCATGCTGGGCGTGTGTATATGCATACTCAGAATCCTGAGAGGAGAATGGAGAAGGGATTGGTTATCTCCCCTAGGGATGCTTTCTCACTTTTTCCCTTTCTCTCTCTTTTCCTTTCTCCCTTTCTCCAGCAAGCATACACACCCTATAGCAGACCTTAAAAAAACAAAACAAAAAACAACAAAAAACCCCTTGAAATCTATGCATAATTTTTCATTATATGTATTGTCCATGATCTTTCTGAAGAGACCCCTTGTAGGTGTGCCAGGTTATGGGTTAAGTACTTAGATGGAAAATCTCACGGCCATCACTTTACATTGAGAAACTGAGGCTCAGAAGGCTCGAGAGGTTAAGAGACTGTCTAAGGCCACACAGCTGGGATGTTATGAAGCCAGGATTCAAACTCAGGTGCCTTCGGACCCCGAGCTTGAGTGCATGAAGCTCTACTGCCTCCCCATTTTATAGAGAGGGGAACTGAAGCTCAGAGAATAGTAGGTATGACTTTAATCCTCCTGACTTTCCTTTATGATCTTCTGCCTCTGCGTGCACAAGGTTCCTAGGGATGGAACTGGAGCTGGGGATAGAAATGCTTCCCAGATGAGGTGGCTCTAGCTTCCTCTGGGCCTCTTGCCTCCCTGCCAGGGTCCCAGGGCTTACCAGCCTGGAGAAGCTCGGCTTTGGTCTCCAGTTCCTGAGCTTGGGCCCGTGATGGTTTCTTGGCCAGGTAGTAGCGGGCAAATTTCTGTAGAAGGGTGAGCAAGCATTGGTCCTGATTGGCTTGGCCAAAGGGTCTGAATCTCTGCCCACACCATTGGCTTAGAGCTGAGTCCCCCCAGTGGCCAACTTCTCTGGGGATCAAGGCTGAGTCCAGGTCTTCTCCAACTCCTCCGGCCTCTCTTGGGGTGTCAGACTCAGATGGGGTCTTGAGCATCACAGCAGACTCACCAGGTGGGGCAGGCTCAGGTAACATACGATGGACATGAGGATGCCCACACAGGGCGTGATGAAATACCCCAGGGCAGAAGTCTGGGCATCTACACCACCTGTGGCAGAAATTTCAGTTGTAGAGGAGAGGTGGGTGGTCTCACTGGTTCCTACAGGGCCTTCAACTCTAACAGAGTAGGCTTCTCCTAGCCTCTTCTGTTCCTCTCTTCACTGGCAAACTTGGGACTCTTGTACAGGACCCCAGACCAGCCTTTCGCATCCCACGTTTCCCTACGTGTCATTTTTGTTGAGCACCTACTACATGCCAGGAGCATTCTTTTTATAGTGTGTTACCATCTGAGCAGGGAGCTCTAATAATCATGGAGGTGGGGAAACTGTACTTCAAGTCAAATGGCTAGTCGAGTGCCCTCAGCTAGTGAGCAGTGAAATGGATTAAAACCCAAGTCTCTCTGAATCCCAGACCTATCCCTTGTCCCTCAATTTCAGCCTATTGCCACATACCAGAACCAACCTAGGAATCCTGCTCTTGGCTCTAAGTCAGCCAGATCTTCCCTGGTCATCCTCACTACAGGGCCCTAGAGCCCTACTTCCTAGTCTCAGACCCGGATCCCAATTCTCCATCACCTCCATTTCCACCGCAAAGCCACTCCTGTAAACCTTCTGTTTCCCCAGACCCCAGAGGCCAACCCAGCCCTCCAGCCACCCAAGTGCACTCACTGGCCATGGACATGAGCATGGCGATGGCAGCGAAGATCCCAGCCAGGCCCTGGCCGCTGAGGAAGAGGGTGCTGTAGGTGGAGGGCATAGTGCCCAATTGCCCAAAGAGGCTGCCCTGCAGGACTGCACAGAAGGCTGTGGAGGGACAGGGATGGAGACTGCTGCTCCACTCAGCAGGAGACTCCTTAGAGGGGGTGTTGGCAGGATGTACAAGGACTCAGGGTACTGTGGACTGGGTTGGCAGGTGCAAACTTTCCTGGGATTCAAGGCTTTCTAGTGCAACCCCCTCTCCCTCCACTCTCCACTCCCACCCCCCACCCACCCGGTCTCATTCATTCCTCTTTCCAGGTGCAGCCACTGATCTGAGGGGCTGGTGGCCAGAAGGCCTGCTCCTAGGTCACTGCAGGGCCTGGGACAAGTGACTTTTCCTCTCCCTCTGGGCCTCAGTTTCTTCTTCTGGGATATGGGTGCTAACAGTACTGCCTTCCCTTCTTGGCTATGTTGGGCCCTTTGGGTTACAAGGAAGAGGCCAGGCCGAAGGCTGGGGAGGAAGGGAGGGACAGAAGTGCTCACAGTTGATGAACCAGACGGAGGCCATGGTGATGGAGAAGAAGGGCCCGGGGCTCATGTTCACTTTGACCAACGCTGCCGTCAAGGCAAAGAGCAGCAGCATGGCCAGCAGGCTGCCCAGGATCCGCACCACCTCAGGGATGCTGCTCAGAGGGGGGCAGAGTGGAGTCAGCAGGGCCCAGGCCAGACAGGGAGGCTCTGCAGGATGCTCATCCTGGGGTCAGGCTGTCGGGGTTGCAGGGACATGCAGGAGGAAGGAGGAAGTGTGGGTGGGAGGTCTTCCTGGGCCCAGCTCAAACTGCCTTGATGGGGGTGGGGGCAGGCCTCTCACCACTGGTACAGGAAGGAGTTGAGGAGGGTGAAGAGCAGCAGTGGCAGCTGGGACAGCAGCGTCACCCAGTTGTTGAAGTTGAAGGTGTCCGCAGGGCCTGTGTGGTTGGTGCTCAGGGTCCCAGCTGTGCAGTTGCTCTCTGCCAGCCGCCCCTGGAAGTACTGCCAGATGGGGAGGTAGTGTAGGATCAGGGACACCCCAGCCTTCCCCTTTCCCTTTCCCCATGCTGGTGACTGGCTGATGTCTGTGGGGACTGTCTGCCTTGTCCTTGCACCATCCCTGGCATCTGGCACACAGTCAGAGCTCCATGAATGTACACTGATTGAATGGCGGAAGTCTAGGACAGGGCCCAAGTGTTAAGGGCCGAGAATCAGGCGTGGCTCCATCTTTGGATCATCTTATCTCTTCAGTGCCCTGGTTCCTCCCCACCCCCACCCCTGTAGCAGCGTCTAGATTCATTCATTCCACAGGTATTTACTGAGCATCTACTGTAAGCCAGGCTCTGGCTTAGGTGCTGAAAAATTGCATTCTTTCTGGGATCTTCGCTGCACAGAAGGCTGTGGAGGGACAGGGATGGAGACTGCTGCTCCACTCAGCAGGAGACTCCTTGGAGGGGGTGTTGGCAGGATGTACAAGGACTCAGGGTACTGTGGACTGGGTTGGCAGGTGCAAACTTTCCTGGGATTCAAGGCTTTCTAGTGCATATGGTTTACTGCTCTGTTTAACATCCCCAGCCCCCACTCATGCCTCCTATTATCGGCAAGGCAAAGCCCCACGTTTTTTGGAACAGCATTTGGGGCCTTCGGAATCAGAGCTCCACCTCCCTTTTGCACCCCATCTCCTGCTTGGTCCTGCTAAGCACCAGATACCTTAAAGCTCCGGATCTTTCTCCTGTCTAATGCCTTTGTATGACTGTTGCCTGCCTGGACTGCCTTCTCCCTTCCTGACCACACCCCCTACACGCACACTTCTCATACCCTACTCTTAATTTACACATCTCTTCTTCTATGAAACAGATGGCATGTTCTCTCTCCCCTGGGGATCCACAGCCCTATGTGCCAAGCCGGGGAGAACACGTGTTGTGTTACATTATTAATAGCTCTTTGGCCCAATCTTGCTCTCAAGACCAGGGGCTGATTCATCCTTGGGTATCCAGGGCCTAGCACAGAGCCCGCACTCTGGAGGTACCTAGAGAGTGGTCACATTAACTACATATGAATATTTCAGTCCCAAAGGAAATGCCAATGCCACATTTCTGCGTTCTCCTAAGAGAATAAACGCTCCATGAGGAAAGAGCCTGTCTATGTTTCTTCCTCCATACTCAGTGCCTCATCCAGTAGGTGCTCATTAAATGTTTGTTGAATAAGCGAATGTAATTCATGTCGTTGCAAAGAAAACCAAAGGACTGGATAACCCGCTTTTGGAGTGATTAGCCCAGGAATATTCACAAGTAAGAGGTGGGTGGGTAGCTCCTTTCCTGGTTTTACGGACACCCTTAACTGGTGGCTTTGTCCCTGTGGGTTGTGGGCATTCCGGAAGGGTTGGCTTTCCTGGGCATGAAAGAGGCAGTCCTCTCGCTGACACTCCACGCTTCAGCTGACAAAGGGGCACAGTGAAGAGTCACAGGCAGCATGTGGGGGTGGGGTGGGAGGGGCGACCGCATGGAGAGCTTCAGTCCATAGAGGCTGGAGGGGCAAATGGTGGTCGTGCTTGTGGGGCTGTCACTCGGGCCTCGAGTCTCACCGGGATGGCTGTGATGAAGAAGTTCCAGGGAAGGAGGGTGCCCAGTCCCAAGATAAAGAAGCTGATCCCGACCAGGTGGTAGCTGTGGGGATCAGTCAGAAGGTCACCCCGAGGACACGCCCGCCTCGGCCGTGCCTCCCGCCCCCCCCCACA